CCCGGGGAGCGGCGGGGCTGGCCAGCGTTTGGGTGGGACATTGCGCACGCGACGCCGCACGACGGGCCTCGCTCTGCTTTTTCAGGATGACGACTTCAGGCGCTCTGTTCCCAAGCCTGGTGCCCGGCTCTCGGGGATCCTCTACCAAGTATCTGGTGGAGTTCCGGGCAGGAAAAATGTCATTAAAAGGAACTACGGTCACCCCAGATAAACGGAAAGGGCTCGTGTACATCCAGCAGACGGACGACTCCCTCATTCACTTCTGTTGGAAAGACAGGACCTCTGGGACCGTGGAGGATGTGAGTCCTCCGGGCAAGAGCTGCGAGCGTGGGGACCGCTGGCCTTACCTGCCGGAGATCGGTGTAGGGTTTGTCTGGTCCCAAGGTTGGCAGGCTGCTCCCGTCACTCTCTGAAGCCATGCACCCCGAGGTGACCATGGTTCTTAAAATTTTAGCAGAGACGCTTGCTGACAGGGTGGCAGAGTTAGCTGGTAACATCGTCCTCAGCTTTGGCTTTAAACCTCCAGTGTTGGGGAGGAGTGTACAGATCTGACCTTCACCACAGCCTCGGGTAGTTTGAGCTCCTGGAGGAGGCCCCTTTCCTTAAGGCTCTTTGTCTCTCAGACTACATTGTTCTTTGTTACACTCGACTACCCTTCTGCTTCTTGGAGCACAGTTCCAGAAAGTCACAATTCAAAGTCATCAGCTCCTCAGAGAACAGCTCTTCTACTCCACCACTCTGGGCCCTCTTCCGCCCGTCCTCACTGGGGTCCTGTTAGGCTTGGGCCCAACAGGTTTCTGGGGGACGTAGACCATGGAGGGTGTGTGTGTGGCTGACCGCCCTCCTTCTGTCTCTAGGACTTGATCATCTTTCCCGATGACTGTGAGTTCAAGCGGGTGCCTCAGTGCCCCAGCGGGAGGGTCTACGTGCTCAAATTTAAGGCGGGGTCCAAGAGGCTCTTCTTTTGGATGCAGGTATGTAGGAGAATGGGTCCCTCTGTGTTGTCTTGTGGTCCATCTGAGACCTGGGGGGCCTGGTGGAACTGAGTTCCCACCTATGTGAGTGGCTCCTGGTTCAGCACCAGATGGTATCACCTACAGGCACACAACTTCAGGTCCTCATTCGGGTCCTCCATTGCTCCCTGGCCATGGATCCTAGCTCCTAGAGGTGATACTCTCTGTTCTCAGCAGTTGAGCGTCCCCCTCGAGCTCTCCCGGGCTGTGTATTTGGAGTCCTTTTGGTATCATGGCTCCCATTCATCCCCATCCACAGTGCCCCCCCAAACAGGGACTCCCCACATTCTGCCCTGTTGGAGGCCATTGGCATCTTTTTCTTATGCTCTTAACGTGGTGTTGCAGTGGCATGGGACGTGGGCACAGTCTAGAGTCAGAAGCTAGCACTGGGGTGTGTTCAGGGGTGGTGGACAGTCACCGCCACTGTCATCCTGCCCAAAGGGACAGCAGCTGTCTGAAGTGCCTGGGTGCTGGTCACCTGAGCCTGGGGCTCCAGAACGCAGCTGAGAACAGTAGGGGTGTGGCTGTGTCCGGGGCGTCTTAAGTGGAAGCTGTGCTCACTGCAGAGCATCTCGCCATGGTTCTGAGCCTTGTTAAAGACCTCATCACAGTTAACTTTTCCCGATTCACTCTTATATGCCTCTCTCGCCCCTTTGCCACAAGCGCAGGGGCCACACAGTGCTCTATCCCGAAGTTTTGGAGCCAGCTGTCCCTCAGGCAGTGTTGATGGGGGCTATTGTGTTACCTCTGAAGCTCAAGAAGAAGCCATACCCTGAAGGCACTCCAGGCTTCTCTTTGTTGTTGATTAGATTTGGGGCCTTACTTGCTGCCCTTACTATCTCTAGGCTGGGTTCTGTCTCTGGTACTGTGACATTTGCAGGTAACTGTTTTTCCAGTACTGTGTGGGCTGGATCAGGATGGCTGGCCATGTGGGTGCTGGGAAGCCAACGGGCGTGAGCCAGCTCCTTGTGCAGGCTGCTCAGCTTGGGCCCTTTGCTTATCCTCTCTGGCAGGAGCCCAAGACTGACCAAGATGAAGAGCATTGTCGGAAAGTCAATGAGTGTCTGAACAACCCCCCCATGCCCGGAGCGCTGGGTGCAAGTGGGAGTGGAGGCCATGAGCTCTCGGCACTGGGCGGTAATTATCACCTGGACCTGTGTGGGGCAGTGTTTGTCAGTGAGCTGGGAGATTGATTATAAGGCAGAGCCCTGCTTAATTAAGTTCTGGTTCTTTCTTTACTTCATCTTTACTGGGCAGAATTCACCTGGTCTCTGCTGCCTCCTTCAGAGGCAATCCCTGAGCGGCTCTGGGGTGGGGCCAAGGCCAGGCATCCCAGCCATGGCCACTGCAGGCCCACGTTTGATTCTTGTGTTTTCCAGGTGAGGGTGGCCTGCAGAGCCTGTTGGGGAACATGAGTCATAGCCAGCTCATGCAGCTCATCGGACCAGCTGGCCTCGGAGGACTGGGTAACGTTAGCCACTGTCCCTGGCTCTCCCATAAGCGCCTTGCTTGCAGCAGACACAGGGTTTCCTGCATCTCCTTTTACTGTCTATCCGTGTGTTCCTATTTTGGAAAGTGCTTATCTGCTGGATACGAGCTGGGTGGGCAGGGAGGGACCTCATCTAATACCCATGTGTATGGTTCTCTGGGGCAGAGCCAAGGATGATCACACTGGGGTGCAGCAGGTGTCTGGACACAGACGGGGCTGGAGTGGAAGTGACCTGGCTCAGTAGGATAGCTTTTAGAATTTAGACTAGGGTGGTCACTTTAGCCTCCTGTGGTCTTCCTTGTTAATAACAACCCTCCCTTCTCATCCCTTGGCTTTGGTATTGGGATGTGTGGCTTCTTGGGTTGGCTGGCAGTGTTTAGCAGACATTTTTTTGCTCCTTTAGGTGGGCTTGGAGCCCTCACTGGACCAGGCCTGGCCAGCTTGCTGGGGAGCAGCGGGCCTCCGGCAAGCAGCTCTTCGTCCAGGTGAGCCCCAAGCCCCCAGTGCCTGACTTGGGTACTGGGCACCACCACCAGCCATTGCATTCTCTTTTCTGGAGACATCATTTAGGAGGTAGGGTTGGGGGTCCCCATTACACCAGAGCTTGTTACTGGGGAAGTGGTCCTCCAGACCTGTGGAGTAGCCCCAAAACATAGTGGGCCTCGCTGTTCCAGTCCTTGCTCGCTTTCCCCAGCTCCCGGAGCCAGTCGGCAGCCGTCACCCCATCCTCCACCACCTCTTCCACTCGCGCCACCCCAGCCCCTTCTGCCCCAGCAGCTGCCTCGACCACCAGCCCAAGCCCCGCACCCAGCTCAGGTAATGGAACCAGCACAGCAGCCAGCCCGACCCAGCCCATCCAGCTGAGTGACCTCCAGAGCATCCTGGCCACCATGAATGTGCCCGCAGGGCCAGGAGGCGGCCAGCAAGGTGAGAGCTGCAGGTACTCGTGGGGTGGGGTGCCAGGCTGGCATCGGACCACTGATGGCTACGTTGCTTGTGTCCTAGTGGATCTGGCCAGTGTGCTGACTCCAGAGATCATGGCTCCCATCCTCGCTAACGCAGACGTTCAGGAGCGCCTGCTGCCCTACCTGCCCTCTGGGGAGTCTCTGCCTCAGACTGCAGATGAGATCCAGAACACATTGACCTCGCCCCAGTTCCAGCAGGTATGTATGCCCGTGGCACTCTGTACACGTAACTCTTACATGGTGGGCCTGGTGCCTTAGGCACCCAGCCCTGCATATGTACTCTGTATTGCAGGCCCTGGGTATGTTCAGTGCAGCCTTGGCCTCAGGACAGCTCGGCCCCCTCATGTGCCAGTTTGGCCTTCCTGCAGAGGCTGTGGAGGCAGCCAACAAAGGAGGTGAGTACAGACCCTGGTCTCAGTTGTGTGGCACTGGGGGCCGTCTGCTTGGGTAGTAGCCCTGTTGTGGCTGTTTCAGATGTGGAAGCATTTGCCAAAGCCATGCAGAATAACGCCAAATCGGAGCCGAAGGAGGGCGACACGAAAGACAAGAAAGACGAGGAGGAGGATATGAGTCTGGATTAAATTATTCGCTGTCCTTCCCCAGGTTGGAATTCATAGTGTGTGATTCCGTAGTGGCAATTGTGATTCGTTGTGCCCTCTCCTGCCCGCCCCACTAATAAAGTCCTTTCTTGTACCTGCTGACTCTGGTCTTGGCCTTGTGTTACCTCCGAGGACTGTGCTAATGAGGAGAGGATGGTGGGAGCAGCCACCACCCTGGGTTCTGTACCCAACTCCATCAGGCCTGTGCATGATCCCGCCACTGCTGTTTGAATCAACACTCAAGTGAAAGACAAGTCGCTTTTAATTTCAAAGGGACCAATGACTTTACATATCTCAGTACTAAAAGTTGTTGGGCAAGGGGAACAAAGTATAAATATAAATGACAGCTTAAACCAGAAATGACTTGTTACTCATGACCGAGGCAAACACTGAGTGTCTGGGAACCTTCAGCGTTGAAGCAGGGGGAAGGTACTGAGGTTGGCCTGCCGAAGCCCACTGGACCCCACTTGCCTCTGGGTCAGGGCTTTTCCCCGCCCCGTGGGCTTGGGAAGTATTGCAAAGTGAGCTGGATCTGGGGCTGGAGTTCCAGAGGGGCAACCACTTGTCCCCACTGCCCCCTGGATCTGTGCAGTAGTCACAGTGACAGGGTTCCCGTTGGCCACCAGGTTCCTCATGCATCCTCGATAGGCAGGGGGCTCTGGCTGAACAGCTGTCGCCTCTGAAAATACAGGGGGGCCTGAGAAAACTGATAGAAAAGGCCACAGGGTCTCATATGGGGGGCCTGAGAAGACTGATAGAAAAGGCCGCAGGGTCTTGGTCCCTGCATCAGCCAATCAGCCTGGTCTCTGTTGCCCCATCGGAGGGTGAGATCCCAGTCCCTACAGGGCAGTCCACACTTACTGGGCAGGCCCCCGAGGTGCAGAAGTCCTGGAATATTAGCCAGGGTCGCTGGCAGAGGGCCTGTGGTGTGGTTGCTGTGCGTGTCTACCTCTAGGCGGAGCGTGTTCCTGCCCTGAATCACTGTGGAGCAGATTTGTGTCCCCTAGGTCAGCCAACCTGTGGTGTCACCTAAACCCACCCTGCTCTGCAGAAGAGGAAAAGGGCCCCTCACCGGCCACTCGGTGCCACTGTCCATCACAAAGCTTGGGGTAGGACACCCACGTGGAGAACTCTCCTGCCCCATCACTGGCCCGCAGCAGGACCTGGGGTGAAAGGCAGTTAGGTTCTGTCTACTGGAGGACACAGTGGTGGAGGAGGAAATCCCTCAGCACCACAGCCCTGCTCACCTGTTCTGTCAACACCTGCAGCTGCACGTAGGGCGTAGCCTGGGCCTGGCCCAGGTGGAAGATGAGGCCAGCAGCTGCCAAGGGCCGTATCTCTAACTCCAGGCTAACGTGGGGCAGCTTGTCCTTGGAGAGCTCTGTGGGGAGGGGCAGTGATGGGAGAGGTCCAGGCCCTAGCTTAGAGCCCCTACACCCACAGGACCTCCCTTGCTTCACACACCTAAGGTGACAATTCCTTCACTGCCTGGGAAGAACAGGCCATCTTGCAGGGGGCCTGAGACACAGGGTACGACCCCCACCATTTGCGTTGGAGCCCTCAGGGGCCGCTTATTCAGCTGCAGATTCTTCACACAGCCACTGAAGCCTACAGACACCTGCAGGAACGGACGGCTGATGTCAGGCTGGGGCTGCTGATGTCTAGGCTAAGGCTAGGGATGGGGTAGTATGGTTCTCACAGGGAGCCTGGAGCTATAACTGCTGGCAGGGAGACCTCCCACAAAGAGGGTGTGGGGCTGTGGGCCCTCTGCCCTGTGGACCCGATGGCGGGGTGCCTTCTGGCTCCGGGTCTGGCTGCCGTCCACCACAAGCTGGATCTGCTGCATTCCCCAGCGCACAGACACCTGGGTGGAAGAAGTAACCTGGTCAGCTGTATCCCAGGACTCTGGGGAGAAGGCAGCTTTCAGATGCATTCCCCGTGCCTTGCCACCCACACCTTAATCTCTCACCCTGTGCCACTGGCCAGCCCGGGAGTGCTGGTGACTCTGGACCTGGAGCCGGGGCCCAGGGCCTTCCGTCTGCGCGACAAAGTGTCCGTGGCTCAGAAAGAGTACCAGTGAAGAACCATGGCTTGATTGGGGGACGGTGGAAAGCAAGAGGCCCTGGGAAGCAGCATGCGGGCGGACAAGCATCGAGAGGTGGAGCCTGGAAGCCAAGCATGGCGTCAGCCTTGGCAGCACCTCCAATCCCACCCAAGCCTGACCTGACCAGCCTTACCTATTCCTGCGAGATGGGGAGACACCCACAAACTGCAGGTAACTGGGCAGGGGCCCCCCAAACTGGTATGAATCCTGAATAGTCCCGGGGAGCCAGGGTGGTGTACAGGCAAGGTCCTGGCTGGGTTGGCGGCTGCGGCGGGAGACCTAGGGCACAGCACACCACGGTGCAGGGGCTGGTGTTTGTTGTTTTTTTGAGACAGGGTTTCTCAGTAGCTATGGAGCCAGTCCTGGAACTCGCTCTGGAGACCAGGCTGGCCTCGAACTCACAGAGATCCACCTGCTTCTGCCTCCCAAGTGCTGGGATTAAAGGCGTGCACTACCACCCCCTGTAGCCAACCTCCCAGCTCCCCTAGCCCTGCCCACACACTCACCTTCTGAGCTGTGGCCCTCGAGGTCCGGACGAGTTGGGCTGGTGTGCAGCCTATGCTCACATTGACACTGCCCATGTTCTGCTGTAGGTCAAACACACGCTGTGGCCCCCGAAGTCTGTGGGGGGGGCAGATGGGTACCTGTCAGTAACTGGCATGGGCATGGGGGGTGGTCAGCTGGGACAGACCTCATCCCGACACCAACCAGCTCACCGCTGCACAAACACATTGCTGATGCAGCCACTGAAGTTGTGGGAGGTACCAGACTTAGGCAGGCCTCCCAGGAGAAGCCGTGGTTCCTCAGGCTGCGGTTGGAGCGTGGCAAGTGTTCTCTGGTAGGGGACTATCTCTTGTAGCTGGTCGTCCACAAACAGATTGACCCTGAGGAGAAGGCAGTGTTCCCATCCTGGCACATTCTTCTTGAAGGGCCGGCCTCACCCAGACCCTCCTGTAGAACATGCTGGCACCCTTTCCCTCTTTGCCTGAAGCAGGGCTTACTGTGTGCTATTGGTATAGAAGGCAACATAGTGGGGGGCACCATCGGCGAAGATGCCTTGAGTTTTCACCGCTGTTTTCATAAATTGGAGTGTCAAATGGCCCTCATCCAGGGATACCTGGTATGACCCATCCTAGGGACAGAGGCAAGGTCAAGTTGGCTAGGCCAGGAGTCCAGACTCATTCCTTCCAACCCCCACAGGCCCAGACCATGGCTGTGGTGCAAGCGAGTTGCCGTCAGCTCACCGGGGAGACACGATAGTAGAGCAGGCTGTTCTCCTGCGTGCCACGGAAGCCAAAGCCAGAGTAGATGTTGCCAGTGATGGGCACTACTTCGGGAAGTGCCAAGGCCAGGTAGCCATGGCCGTGGAAAGTCATGGCACGGCCCACTAGCAAGTCAGCGGTGCAACCGAAGCTGATACCCGTGGTGTTCAACCGTTTGAGGTCCACGTACTTGCCCAGGGCCTTGATGCCTTTGATGCAGCCGCGAACAGACCCTCCCGAGGGGAAGAGCTTCTGGAGGCTGCAGGGCAGTCAGATCTTGAGTGGCTGCCCTGCTGGCACTGGGACCCCCACATGCCCCAGGGCCCATGCTCACCTTGAGGGCAGCTGCTCAGGTGGCACCCCCCCCAGGTAGTAGGCATCTGCCATCTCCAGCGTGTTGTCCTGTTCCACGCTGAACACGGTGGCCCTCTCCACCCGCACCAGCACACGCTTGCGGCTGCCAGCCAGCAGGAACACCTGGATCTGCAGGGAAGGGGCAGCGGGCTTCAGGAAAGCCAAGCCCCTGCTGGTCCTCCTAGCCCCAGGCCCCTTGCCTTACCGCCTTGCTGGCTGCTGTCAGGGGTTGTGGGGGCTGCAGTGGGGTGGCACTCTCCAGGCCTGAGCCAAAGTCATAAAGGAGCACCAGGGTGCCATCCTGCACTGCCAGGCACAGGAACTGGCTCTGCAGGAACAGGGCAGAGCAGGGTCAGCTCAGATGCACTGGGAGGAGGCAGAGCAGGGCAGAGCCAGCATGAGGGAGAAGGTGGGGCACAGGGTCAGCCTTGCCTCTTGCTTGAGGAAAAAGATGATCCCATTGTAAGACACGAGCCGCAGCTCCTGATCAAAACGCTTTGTTTGGCTGAACTGCTTTTCAAAGCTGATGCGGGCGAAACCGCTGCCATCCAGGTAGGAGCCATCCGTGAGCCACGGGTCACCAGTGGCCTTGGAGCTGCACATTAGAGGCTTCGGGTCAGTGGGGGAGGGGGTGGGGGTGAGTGGAGACACAGGGTGCCAGGCCTTTCCTACCGAGCACAGGGCTTATCCACTGCAGTGTCCAGCTTGAAGGTCTGCTCAAAGTTGTAGAGGCTGACCACCTCCTCGTTCAATGTGTCCATCTCAATGCAGCCCAGGTAGCCAGGGAGTCGGAGGGGTTCAGGGGGCTGTGGGTAAAGGTGCACGCTTAGGGTACCACCTTCCGACTTCACAGGGACCAGTGGACACTCAGACTGCAGGAGGATGGGCTTTCTCCCACCAGCTCAAGACAGACAGGACTACCCAGAGGCTGAGCCAGGCTCACCGTGAAGTTGCTGGGGTATCCTCCCACATAGAAGACAAAGTCATCAGGCCGTAGGCTCAGCAGCCCCTCCAACCCTGGGGCCACCGTGTCCCCCTTGATCTCCTGAACCGTGTTCTTCTCCACCGTGACAGACATGTGGCCAAACTGGAGGGTCCTAGGGGCAGAGGTGAGGGATGAGAAATAGACAGGGGACTCTGAACCACAAGTGTCTAACCCTCTCTTCAAGGCATCTGTACCTGTCAATGCTGATGGTGGCAAACTGCTCCCCAATGTTCTCATCAATGCTCAGAGTTGTGAGGCCTTTCTCACCTAGCCTGTACACCCAGTGCACCTTCTGATTACGCAGAGACACACCCATGTAGTCCCCAGTGGCCTGCGGTGGCAGCCAGAGGACACAGTTAGTATGGGGATCAAGCACCACCCGTTTCTAACTTCC